ACTTCTGACTTCAGGAGGAGCAGGGACAGCATGGGAGGGTGTAGGTGGAGCAAGGGGGGACTAGCCACACTTGTGGTCACTGGAGGGTGAGATGGGACTTTCTGATCATCAGCCATCAGTGTGGGCACTGGTGCAGGCCCTGGTAAGAAGAATTGTCTCCATTTGACCCCGTCATGTGACACAGCCCACAATAACCATCAAAATGCAATATTCGTGGCAGTGAACAGTTTCTTAATCACTTCTATGACATTCTCTTTGGCTGGTAAACTTCGAAACCAAACTCACCGTCATTGAGGCAGTAACTGTTTATGGGAGTAGAAAGCCTAGCCCAGCAGTTCTCAACCTGTGAGTCATGACCCCTTTAGGGGTCCAACGACCCTTTCACAGGGGTCGCCTGATTCATAACAGTAGCAAAATTCCATTTAAGAAGTAACAACAAAAATAACTTTATGGCTGGGGGTCACGACCACATGAGGAGCTGTATGAAAGGGTCGCAGCCTGAGGAAGGTTGAGAACCTCTGCCCTAGTCTTTCTTCCTTGGCACTGCTGCTGGTGGTTTCAAACCAGCGACCGTGTGGGTCGCAACCCACTGCGTAACCGTTACACCACCAGGGATGAGCGTCCCAATTTAGGTCTTTCTTTGCCTCTGAGTCTTTAAAATGACAAGTTCCTTCTCACTGAAAATGGTCATTTCTCTGCAGTGCAGAATTCTGTCCCCCTGGCCCAAGCCCAGAGGTGCTCTTCTGCTATCTCTGATTTGAAAACAGCGATGGAAACTGGTTGCACAGAGAAGGAGGGGGCCTGAGCGCTGTATCCATACAGAAAAGCTAACAGAGGAGGAAAGCTTGATGGACATTTTTAGTGTAATAAACTGCATTTGCTTTCCTTCTGCCAAGAGCGCTTTCTCTGCCAGATATGTGCCAGTATCTGGGAAATTGAGAATATTGATAGGATTGTTCTTACTATAGTTGCGACATTCTTTATTGCTTTGTGAGTGATCCTAGTAATGTTTGGGAGACTGAGAAGTAATATTTGAGAATGATCCTGGCTATAGCTATAGGGGAGTGCCATTATTAGCATGGACACTGTCTACACGATGTAAGAGTTTGAGAGATGCAATTATTCTCTACTGTATTCGCATCATTAAGATGTGTGGTGACCATCATCGTGGTGAGAGAAACAGTATTTACATCGTAGAAGTGCTACCTACCTCGAACTAGAATTTCGGGCATCTGTTTTCTGTCTCTCGGCCGCCATTCCTTCACTGGATTTTGCCTAAATCTGTGGGATTAAATAAAGATTGGACCTATTGACTTTTCTCCTGGCTGTGGTACGGTAACAGAGTAAGAAAAGGTTCCTTTCTAGAGCAAAGGGAAAGAAGAAGCAGCCCGCCTTGTGATGCTTCAGGAGAACATTTAAACGCGAGGCACACGCTTGTTGACTTTCTCAAAAACGGTGGCTTGCGTTCACCTGTTTCTGTTTCCTCGATCGATCGGCTCCTTGCAACGGCTGGCTGGAAACCCCTCCGGCAAGGGCCGGAAGAATGTGTTTCCTTCAAGAAATGAGCCCAGTTGACGGGGTGTGCCTTGTGCCGTCTACTGATGAAAATGAGCGCAGCAGGCTTGGTGGAGGAAGTGGAGAGCTGCCGCTGTGGTGAGGCGCCCGCAGGTGAACAGGTGAACAGGTAGGATGCGGAGGTCAGTGCTCTTGGCCTTATTTCCTTCCGGTTGAGAAATGTGTTCGTAGGAGGTGTTTGAACCCGCGAGTGCTGGGGCTAAAGCCTGACCTCATCCTGTGATACGGATGTCAGAATGCAGGAAGATACATCTGAGCCACACTTCATGTTCTCCACCCTCCAGTGTCCTCTGCCTGCAGTCCCCCATCCTCCCACCGAGGTTGGTTTCCTGCGCGTTTTCTGCCACCTCTCTGACAACCATGGACTCTTCTTCCCCTGGACTGTGGTTCCAATCGGTGTGACCATGGAGATCTGGTTTAATTCTCCCACACTTTCAGGTGCTCATCCACCAAGTGGGCCCGTGAGCCCTGGCAGCGTAGTGGTTATCTGTGGGCCTACTAACTGCACGCTTAGCCGTTTGAAACCAGCAGCTGCTCCCCAGGAGATAGGTCAGGCTTCCTACTCCCTTAAAGAGTGACAGTCTCAGAAACCCGCAGGGGGCAGTTCTGCCCCGTCCAACAGGGTCACCTGTGAGTCAGAACTCAATGGGGGTGAGTTTGGGTTGAGTTTTCCCGAGTGGGCCGGATAACGCTGTCTCTAACTATACACATACTGGTTGTGAAGTATTGATAAGAAGGGTCCCAGACAAGGGTCCCCTCGAGAACCCTGGTGCAGATCACCTGGTGTGCAGTGCGCCAAAGTGTAGGTAGGTGGCCCCATGCCTATGGAGACCCTGCATTTGTGGATGGGCCCATGGACACATCCTATCACCATGGCAATTCTGTCCCTGCTCATCTTTCTACTTGTCTAATTCTGTGAATGCTGGGTATGTCAAGCCCTTGGTGTCCCCCAGCCAAGGGGTTAGTAGCGTCCACCAGGCTGTCCCTCCATAGTATATGCCAAACCTAAGGTGCTGCTTGCTAATGCATGGCCAATGACCATACACTTGGAGGTCAACTGC